AAGAATGAGCAGAATAGTTCAGTTCTGGTTTATAAACGGATTGTGTAATATTTAAATTTGACTGTCAAATGGACCATTGAGTTACGATGGGGCCAGATGAGCAGTGATTTGAATGATGGCAGTGGCCGAGGAGCACACAGCAAAATGTGTGGAGTGGATTATTTCAGATTAGAGCCACTGTATGTTAATCTCACACACGTGCTGTACCTCTTGACCTCTGACCCTCCACCCAACAGGAAACAAGAAGTGAGGTCCTGAACTGATGAACACTTAAAACAAAACCAAGGTCAAGAAAATCTCATTTAAGTTTAGAAAAGTTTACGCAAAATTGACTCTTGTGGGCTTTAAACCATGTTATAATGTTGTTACCTTCTCAAAAACAAACCTGGAGTTGTGTTTGTCTACATCTCCAGAGCTCAAAACTCTCTGCTCCACCTCGTGATGTCATGAAGGGATAGTTTTCAAGTTAACAGCTACCTTTTTTAGCAATTTCAGAGCTGAAATGATCCAAATCATTCTAGGAAAGGTGCATGAAGTTGGAGCTCTTCCTGTATTGACATCACAAGGTGGAACAGACTTTCATTTTCGGTTTGAGAGAAGAACTCAGCCTAAATCTGCCGGGTTTTTGTGTTAAACATATGAAGGAAACAAAACACAGCTCTAGGTCTGTTTGTGATAAGGAAATAACATTATAACAGATCAGAAAATGGCAGAATACGGGCCCTTTAAAGGACCAAGAGATGGTGATTCAGAGGGTAGTCATGCTCATATCTTTCCTTACGTAAACTAAGTCCAACTGAGACCAACGCCTAACGTCTCACTGAACCAGCTCTAAGTCTACAGCTATACCCTATTCTCTATACCATCCATCACACAGCCAGGACTTGTAAACTAAAGGCTGCACCGGATATTACCCATCTCAAACAGAGGAAAAAAACGTGTTTATTTTAGCCTGTTTGCAGAGGTCCAAACATTCTTCTCACTTTGTTCACGGATTCCTATCATACTAATTATTCGCTGTGACGAATTCGTGCATTTCACAACTTTTTGCAAGGCCAGAATGGAGTTCTAATAGCATGCTAACAGCTCATCATGCATCGTGGTTTATTATTCTTTGTATTCTTGTAGCGATGCACTGATCTGACTTTTTTCTCTTCCAATACTGATATCGATAATTTGGCTTTAAGTATCCACCAGTACCCGATATTACAGAATTTATTTTCCAACACAAACTGCTAGGGATGTAACAATAACCAAAATATCGTGATATCGTATCGTCAAAGTTCTCACAATAATATCATGGACCATCACAATTTATCGAATTACAAGTCTTTTTGCTTGAATTAAGAGTTATGGTGCAGCAATAGCTAAAAAAGCGTGCTGTAGTTCTTGATAGAAAGCTTGGCAGTGGCGGACTGATATATGAGAAAATAGTCCCTCAACATTTGACAATTCATGCAATGCAAGGTTAGTTTTATTTCAAACATTATTCTATCAACACAGACATTTACATCGACAGTCTGGAGCAATAATAGTTTTGCTTCAGGTGGTTTGTGGAGTGGGTAAGACACTAGCGACCTTTGCAAATACAAGGACTGGATGAAATATTTTTAAAAGTGTCTCCACACGTCTCCAACACTCTGGCTCACTAGGAAATGAGGTCCTATGTCCAAAATTCTGAACTGTCTCTTTAAAGTAATTATAGAAGAAATTGGATATCGACTAAACCAGTATCTTGGAGATCAATATCCACCAAAACATTATCAATATCAGATACCAGCATCGCATTGGTGCATCCCTAATGATTTTGAGCTATGTCACTAATACGTCCATGGGTAAAACAGACTACTTTAAAACTACTTTATTACTTTAATTATTATGAACAGGGTAGATGAAAAACACAGGTTAGATTTTCCTGGTTTGTAATCTTTGGTTTAACCCTGACACTGAAGCTTGTCACACATAAGTGCATAATGAGAGTGTTAGTTTGACCTCTTGACCTTGAGCCTGTTGCTGTGGAAACGATCAGCTTTGTCCAATCAATCAAAAGTATTAAACCTGAGTGTGGATTAATACAGACAATTTACTTAAACTAAGCGGAAACAGATGAGGACACTGAAGAAGGCAGTCAACGGAGAAAGATTGCATGTAAAAATGTTTTGTGAAATGACAATTTTTTCCTTAGAATTCTTGGGCAATCTTGTTAAATGGTCAACAGAACAGCAGCTGTAAGTGAAGAAGCTAAAAACAGTGGAGTAGTATTAGAGAATAGGGTCAGATGTGTTCAGGGGCAGGTGTAAAAAGTAGCTCTATTTTTTTAAACTGGTGGAGCTTTGTCATTTGAACCTCAAATCATTATGTGAGCTCTCCAAAAAAAAATTAATGTGTCTCTACTCACTGACTGAATAAAATAAAATAAAAATTAAATAGTACTATTACTTCTAGAGTACAAGGGTTTGATTGTCATTGTTGGAGACTGTGTGGCCATTCAAAAGCCAATCACTCTCATATTTTTTTGAACATGTACAAAATTAAAATCATTCTTGGACAATGTGTTTGGAAAAACTGACACAATCTTGACTTATGTTGTTCCCAAGGACCCAAAGATATTTTTGTTAGGCCTTCTGCCTGGAGAGGTGATTGAAAAACCACAGAAATACCTTAAGACTCTGACATTGGCATGAAAAAATCAATAACAAGAAGCTGCATGGCTTAACAAGAACCCACCATCAGTGAATCAGCGACTAGACATTATAGAAGAAATATATTCTGACTAACTTTTTTGCTGCGATTCATCAAACGCTGGACAAAATGGTTAAAATACAAACAAAAATAGACTTGATTCACCCTTCAACATGCTTGCAGTGGAACAGCGCCCCAAGCTTTGTATTGGTTGTAAAAAAAAAAAATTTCATTTGTTCTATATTACACAAAACTTGAAAAACTAAATTAAAAAAAAGTGTAAAAAAAAATCTTTCAGACAAATTCAGAAAGCTCTAATGAAATCCCTTGAGGTCTGAATGAACGAGAGGAGAGAAGAGTCACCTCTAAAAACTGCATCTGAACAGACCAGCCATTACTATATTTAGGAGATAAATGAGACGAGGATGGGAGAGAGGAGACAACGAAGAGTAAGAGGAGAGGAGGAGAGAGAGTTAGAGGACAGAAGGGGGTAGCGGGTGTCTTTTTGATGCACTGACTGTAGTTACGCAAACTTCCACTTGGGGTGATTCTAGGACTTCTGTCATTGGCGAAAAGAAAAGATGAAGGAGACAGAGAGGCAAAGCATCATTATGCTTATTTATCTATGCGGAGACAGTAGGTGACGCCACAGAGCCAAGTTACCGGCCAGATCTGTGGAGAGACGAGCACACTCACAGTGAGAATGCAAGTTTTTAAGTCAATAAAAACCCTGTTCTTGAGTAAATGTAAGACGGATTTGTTTAATTAACACGATTAACATGGTAAAAGTGAGAACTCCTAATGAAGGACTTCCCTCCCTACAGCTCGTCCAACCAAAACCAAAAATGTCTGGCACTGCCCCTGGTCTCCAAGCCCCTCTCCTAAATCCAGATTCCGGTCTAAACCAGATCTGGGTGAGAGCTGGACCTTTACCAGGTGAATCATGTCCCTTCGTTCTTTGTTCCGGATGTCTCCTGCGTGTCTTGGACTTATTTTGGTCTCATTTGACTGTCTCTTCCATCTCTTTAATGCCCTCTTCTTCACATGAAGCTACAGAGAAATCTCCAGGTAACCCCTTTGTTATGTAGACATGCAAAGCCAGAGCCAAAAACCAGACCTTTTCCTGGACTAAGACTGCAGACACGTTGACAGATCACCATCACTCACATCAATTCACTCTGGGGAATTAGGAAATTAACTAAATAAATAAGACTACAGATTGAGACTTAATCGTGCAGAACCAAGAAACAGCATCTGTTGGCTTGTTACACAGACTTCTCAAGACAAAAGAAGAATATGTGGTTAATTTTTAATGTACAGATTCAGTACTTCGCTGCATTAAAGCAGACAGGACCCAGGCACACGCTCCTGTCAGCTCCTGTCGATTCCTGTCGGCTCCTGTCGGCTCCTCTGCACCTAAAATGTGCTGATGGCTCCATATTCAGGAGTAAGAAGATTCCAGAAACTACTCTGGAATGAGACAGCACTGAGAAATCCAATTGGTCAAAATTAGGACTAAAAAGAATAAACAAGCGACTGATAATACAATCTGAGTTTTCCATCTCGGCTGTACCCTCTTGTCTGTGGATTTTCTTTTAGTGAATGGCTGCAACTAAACTAAGCATTTAGGAAAAAGAGCATGATATTTAACAGAAAACAATTGTCTACAATAACAATATGATTATAAGACTTTCAGAGGTTTGATGGGTGACAGCAGGTGGGTTTAAACTATGGCCCAGGGGCCAAATGGAGCTCTCAGCCTCTTACTGACTTGGCCCAAATGATCTTATATACTTTTCTGCAAACTGAAGTAATTCTTCCACTTAAACCTCACTACGGAATGAGACAGGCCTTAAATGAATGCTCCAGGCCTTTTTAGGTCCAGTGGTTCTGTCAGACTGTGTTAAACCATATGAATGACTCACAGTGTTGACCACAGCTCTGAGCTCTGCAGCTTTGAGGTTTTAATATCAGGCTCTTGGTGAAAGGTCACAGGTTACAGATATTTATTCTATTAATTTTCTGATTGGTCCTTCAGAGGCAGTGGCACAGTGGTCAGAGCATTCATCCATCAACGCAGAAGTTCAATGCCAGCTTGGACTAAGCAAGTGCATACCGTTATTGTGTACTTGGGCAGGACACTTCACTCTCCTTACATACATGCATAGTTTCTGGTGGTCAGCAGGGCTGATGGCACAGATTCACAACATTGGTTCATTCTACTCTGCCCCAGGGAACTGAGGCTACAGAAGTGGCCTCACTTCACCGGTGTAGAATGAAAACTGTTACAATATAATCATGACGTGTGTTACGCTCACCTCCTCCGTTCTTGTAGCACAGGTACGGAAACCTCCAGACGTTTCCGAGGCCGACAGCAAAACCCACACAGCTCATGATGAAGTCCATTTGTCGGGTCCATGTTTCCCGCTCTGGATACGCACCTGGCGCAGCCCCGGTGCCACCTGTGACCACGCCCCCTTTCTTCTCAGGACAGGTCACACCTCCCATCGCCACAGTGGCCACGAGTGAGCCGTTTGCACTGGGCACAGAGTAAAGATGGCTGCTGCCACCATTGGCCGCGAAGTGTGACTTTTTGTTTAATTCGTCCAGTAGTGTGGAGGACGCTGACGCAGGAAGTGAGTGTTTCTCAGAGTTCTCCATTGCTCAGGGAGGTTTAAAAGAGCACAAAAGTTTATAGCTCTAAAAATCGGCTTGAATCTTTCACTGTCACTTTCACAGTCCACAGAGCGGTTCGCCGTTAAACAAATATCTTTTTATGAATTTTAAGAATTTCAATGTTTTAACAAAGATTTGGGCAAAGTTAAACTGACCAATGCCACTTCTAAAATGTCCCAAACCACTAAATTATTTCAGATTCTTAATATAGTTGAAATAAGTAGGATACAGAATAAGTACCTGTTCTTACAAGAAATAGATGTCAAACTCTAAATCTGAAATAGTCAATAAGATCTACTCTTTTAGTCTGGAATAATTGGCCTATGTGTGTTATGGGCTGCTCTAGAATAAGCAGCAGGTGAAATGACTATTTCTGTAGTTTAGGACTAATTTTGCACTTGGAGATTAAATAAAAAATCCAATTACCAGTCATTTATGAGCAGCAGCCAGTGTGAGATCAAATCCGGTTGCAAGCGTAAAAAGAGTCGGTGATTAGTCGAATAAAACGATTAAAATCCGATTAAAGAAATTAGTGTGTGACAAGAGTCTTTTGAGTAAGGCGCAAATTGTGCTGCTGGGGCAAAAAATCTCGTTAGAAGTCACTAATAACAGCTCATAGCCCGCTCGTATTTCCGTCGCGTTAATCCTCGGTCCTGGTGCCGCAGATTTAGAGCCGTGTGTCCCGTGTGTCTCTGCGGGGACAGCGCTCACCTGTCACCGCTAAACAGCTCTCCTCCTCCCGCTGCTGCACTTCCAGAGCTCGGTCCGAGCGAACGCAGCTGCTGAGACAGATTATGTGTGAAATTTCACTCACTGCTTTTTAGTCCTTTCTCTCTGTCACCTGTTCCTCGGCGGAGTCACGCACGAAGAACGCGGATTCAATCACTTTTAAAATAAAGATCAGTCAAAGAGTTGGTGCAAAAGAACGGGGTTAGGAAGAAAAATGCAAAAATAAAAAACGTAAAAAATAAACGCCACAAAACGCACAGCGACCTTCAAAAACAATCCACGAAACACTTGAATGTGAGTCTGAAGAATCGCATGGGACTTCACGGAGGGGTGGTCCTCAGCGGCCTGCTTAGCGGAATCCTGCGGGGGTTGGGAGCGCGGAGCCCGGCTGCGGGAGGCTTCAGGCGCCGCGGGGCTGGAGGTCCAGAGGAGACCCAAGCTCCATCCGTTTCAAGGCCCAAAATGAGGCAGGGATGCTGCGCAGCGCGTGTCCAGTGAGGACGGTGTGCTGTCACAGTCACGCGGAAGTATTTAAAGCGGCTCTACGTCAGTGCGTGTATCTGTCCGTCCGTTTGTCTGCCGGACACGAGTGCACGAGTTTTATAAACTGGACTGATGGCGTCACGGCGCTGGCCCCGCCCCCCGGCCTGTTTCCAGTGCAGCTCGTCCCCCCCGCAGCTCTACCGAAGCACGAGCCACGCACGTCACCGGGATCTCGCGGATTTTTTATTTACTTTTTTTTTTTTTTTTTTTTTTTTTTAACAAAGCGACATCACGAGCATAGTGATTTTCCTCTCGCACTGACGTCACAGAGGATCCTCCGCGCGAGCACACACGCACGCACACACACAAGCACGCACACCCCTCTGTATCACACACGCACACGCACGCACACACACGCACACACATTCACCCCTCTGTATCACTGTCTCTCACACACACATACATCAAACCAAGTGCAGGATCAGATTAGAGGAGAAGAATGCGGTCCCTCTGAAGGACAGCGCTGTGGAGGTCAAATATGCAGTGGATGTATGCAGTGAGCCCCCAGCGCCACAAGGGGGCGCCAGAAAAGGGGCCGTCTGTGCTGGAGACTGGAAATAAAGCTCTTAAAAGTAACAAGTCAAATGTCTGTGCTGCAGATGTTTTCCAGTACCTGGGATTAGTTGGGCTACTTATTTGGCCTCATTATTGCTCACAGTAATTATGCTCTCACTTTTTACAGGACTTTTTATTGGTCCTCACCAAAACAGCTACTAAGCAACCGAGGGCTTAAAATGTAATGTAGGCTTTAATTCTCTGATGCCAAGTCTGTGAGTTCAAAAAGTCCAAAGAGGCCAGTGTTTATTTGACCAGTGTAAGTGGGTGGGAGAGTGCATATCAATGATCATTATGGGAAATGAAGTCTATGTAAGACAGTAGACAGGGTTGTTAGTCACCCACATGTTCACACTGAAGGCATTTACCGTCTTGTGCCCAAACACTTCAGAATCACAAGAGAATGCTCATGGAAAAGTGATAGGAACAACTGCAGGTGTGTTGCACAATCTGTTTTTGTATGAAGTATAGAAATCGATTTCATCAAGTTCATATCTGGATCTGTTCTTGGACCAGGACCCAGGCAACAGTGTTACTCCGTGGTCATCTGACAGGATTAAAACCTATAAACTATAAACCTATAAACCCTGTGAAATATAACGTATACTTGCAAATGAACAAACAAAAAACAAAGACACTGTGTAACAGGATTCATATGCGCAATAGTTTTATTTAGACAAAATAAGATTCTGAATTTACAGCCATCGGGACATTTCTGATGATTGTGGCCCTGAACACGTGCATGTGTCTGTGAGCCTGATGCCCACTCTGAACTGTATCATTCAATCATATTTAGAGCATCTAGAAAGTCTATGACATATTATGAAAAATTTATGAAATACTTGGACACATAAATCAGTATATATTTATTTTATCAATAGATTTTTAAGGCACATATTTGTTCACTGTTTGGTATATCAAAATGAAACCCATAAACAAAAGCTTGGACCAAAAAATAAAGTTCAAGTCATTTCAGAGGCACGTTGGTTCTTTTGAAATGAAATTGAACAATTAAGCACTTAAATAGTCAGTTATGAAATACTAAAAATGTAATAATTTAAAGCACCTTGAGTTGAAATAAAATTGAAATAAAAGGACGATTTACACACAAAATTATACACCCCATATTTGCCCAAAGAAATAATCGAAAGAGGAGTGTTTAAACAAATGTAAACAAAGAGACGTCAAAATAAAAGCTGGAGGTAATTTTGGTGTTTGGATACATTTCATTAAATCATTTCAGTCATTCATTTTCAGTCAAATTGTTCAGATTTAAAACCCATAGCAAGGACTTTAAAAGGCTCATATTAGACTATTTTCTCATTTATAAGGTTGTTTTCTCATCACAAACACACCTGGAGTTGTGTTTCATTCACACGTTTAACACACAAATGCTGCATATTTACGCTTTTTTTTGAGGAGGTAACAACATTATTATTACATGGTTTAAAGCTCACAAGAGTCAGTTTTGGTTAAAACTGCAGCACCTTTAATGCTAAATCAATCCATTGTAGTTGATTTGTAGACACTTCTTTCTTTCTACATCGAACGTAAAAGAATTTAATTAACTTTTTATCAGTAATCTGCAGAAGTAAAGTGTCCTTGAGTGATCCGAGTAAAGTATTTGTAGTGTGGAGAGGAGGAGGTATCTGTAGGAGTGACTCTGGTGTAATTCTGCCTGAGCTTTGTCTCCTTTACGATCCTTTCTGTTTCCCGCCGACTCTGAAAAACAACAAATACACACATGTTAGCAGGACTGAGCTGAGGTCTAAACCAGGACTGGACCAAAGTGGGACTAAAGCAGGTCTAAACTGGTCTAAACTAAGATTAAGTCAAGTCTTAAAGGGCCCATATTACGCTATTTTCTGATCTATGTTATGTTTCCTCATCACAAACAGACAGGAGTTGTGTTTTGTTTCGTTCACACGTTTAACACACAGACTTTGCATATTTTGTTCTTTCCTCAACCTGAAAACACTCTGCTCCACCTTGTGATGTCATGTGTTAATACAGGAAGGGCTCCACTGTGTTTTTAAACTCCAAACACCTTCACTAGAATCATTTGGATAATTTCTGGACACTAAACCTGTGTTCAATTATCCTCCGACTCCAACCTGGACCTCAGATTTGACGTCCGATCTTAAAGCATATAATTATGTTTTGCGTGTCAGACTATGTGGATTAAGATTATGACTATTCCCTTATTTTATGAAAACGCTGCCACTTCAGTTCATTTAATTTTTGAAATTTGTTACGATTTCCCCTCCTCCATCCAAACTATGGCCCGTGAGCCAAATGCGTCCCTCAGACAAATTTTTCTTGGCCTCAGACTTCCAGGTGAAATGGCCCAAATTACCTTGCATCAATAAAAAATGAACTTTTTAGTGCAAGGTTTTTTTAATTTTTTTATTTACCTTGATAGAGCCAGTATTTAATATTTAGTGTGTGATTTTAAGGATTCTTTTTAAGCATTCTAACGTGTTAAACATGCACATATTTCAATTATTCACTGTACTGAGAACCAGTCTACGACACTCGATCAGCCCTCTGCTTCGTCTTTGTGTAGATATGTGGATCTTAATGAAAAAAGTTTGGACACCTGTGCGTTACAACATTAGGGATGTTAATGCCCATTAAATCACGTATTTTTTCAATACTGACCTCACCACAACACCAACTACCAAACCCACAGGCAGTGATACGGACATGGTAAAGTTTCGCATTGATACAAGTGACTGAAATTGTCATTTAAACCACCAAAGTGTCCAAACACAATGAAAACAGTTCATATTTACGCATCACAGTGGGCAAAGACGTCTTGGAATTCTTGCTCGTTCTACTTTTTCTGCCACCGAGATCTGAGTCGCGACATCCCAGGAAAATGGGCATGCAACATCCTCGGAAAACCGATTCAGAAGGACAATCGAACTCAGGGTAATGCACTTTACAAGACAGCACAGACTTGGAACGCACTTTAGAGAAGCCAACTGTTTTTAAAGACTGTAATCGACACACAATATTTTTAAATATTTATTCCCATTATTATTTATGCTGCTCTTGACCTAAACATGAGTGCAGTGTTTCATTTCTGTGTATTTTTTATACTGAAATAACAAATAAATTCTGATTCTGATTATTCTGAACTAAAGGTAATTTGAGAACTACCACTTCATGACATCACAGGGTGGAACGGAGCATTTTGAGCTTTGGAGATGCAGAGAGACTATTAATTAAACATTATTCAAACGTGTGAATGAAACAAAACACAACCCCAGGTTTGTTTTTAAGGAGGTAACAACATTATAACACGGCTTAAAGCTCACAAGAGTCAGTTTTGCGTAATATAGGACATTTAAGTCAGGACTAAGATAGAACTAAACCAAGACTAAAGCAGATATAAACCAGGACCAAACAAGACCAAACGTGTAAATAAACATGGAAGAAACCCCCCAAAAACCCACAGCACACAATTGGATCTAAAATCGTTTTATCTGATCCAGGCTTTTAGTTATTTTGTACTTTTTGTGTCCCTCAGTTTTTTTCAACTTTGTATCTGATTTATTTGATCTATTTGAAAATTAATCTATTTGAAAATTATTCTTTAAATAACACGCAAACAGCTAAATCTGAAAGATAGAGAGAAAATGATAAGAAAGAAATGAGACGATGAGGTCATTTTAATAATCTTACAACTCCAAAAATCTGATTCTGTGTTTTCAGGAACTCTGGATATAAATTTGACAACAGTCTCTTGAAATTTTTGCTTCTTATTTTGAATTTATTATTACCATTTATATTTATGTTCTTTGTTATTATGTTATATTGTGATGTGTGAGCTACTGTGTCCAATTAATTTCCGTTTTGGATCAATAGTTTGACTAAATCTAAATCTTATAATCTGATTTTGAGTGTGTAACAGCTCTATTTAATGCCAGTACCTCGTACCATCCAACCGCCCGCGGGTGGGCGATTTTCCAATAAAAAATGTTCACTCTGTATATTCACCTTCATTATTGTTTTCACTACTGGCATGCCATACATCGTTTGAAAGCTTAATTTATCAATAAAACAACCATATCACTCATTTTATGCCGTACAACGAGCCCAAAACGCGATAACTTAAAAATTCACATCATAAACAAAGAATAAGATACGCGTTTCTTTGAGCCGGTTCTGTCGGTCCAAAACGCATTCAATCCATGAAAAGTTGTTATCAATAAATCCGTAATAATCCACAGAAAAAGAATATCAAGTTGTTTTTTCCATAAAATAATTCCATGTGGGTAAATAATCCAGAAAATCCTCGTCCGTATGAGTGGATGAATGCGTGAATGAAAATATATGTTGCCTTTCTGGACCTTCTCCCTCTCTGAGTTCTTGGGTACGCTTGTTTTCCTCACACTCTTAGCTTCAAAATGAGACCCTCCCCGCTGTTGTCGGTGGCGGGGTTTAGGTGGGATAAGCCACTGAAGAAGCTAACGCACCCACGTACTTCCTGGCTTTACGCACGCGTCATCAGTTTGTTTACGGGAAATCTCTTCAGTCATTGGATCTTCCAGAAAGTGATTGATATATTGTTTTAGCCTATCACCAGAGCTTTCAAACGGTGGGTGGGACATGTGGGTTCTAAGGTTTTCTTTTAATAAACTATGGCATTCTTGTGCTATTGTGCACACCCCAAAATTAGGTGGATGGGAACAGGTTAAACCAGGACTAAAACAGATGTAGAGCAGGGCGTATTTCAGGATGTGTTCACCAGTTTGGCCCTGTTCTAGTGATTGATAAATCCTGATCTAATCCTGGTTTAGTTCTTGGATTACTCTTGGTTTTAACTGTGACTGTGATGAATAAAGTCTAAATCTTTTCACTATAGTTCTTTTTAAAGCTCATATATTAATCAGAAATTACTTTTGTGAGCTTTTAATCATTTTATAATGTTGTTATTTGGGATGTAACAATGACCGTAATATTGTGATATCGTATTGTCAAAGTTCTCACAATAATATGGACTATCACAATGTGTCAAATTACAAATCTCTTCGCTTAAATGAAGATTTACGGTGAAGCAATAGACAAAAGACAAAGGGAACTACATAGACCATGATCCTTTGCTCCATTTCAGAGTAGACTACAAGAAGAAATAACATTTCTAAGCACTTTTAAGTTTTAGTTCCTTGGATTAAATCTTGTCAAAGCATTTTAAGAGGAAAAAGTAGCACATTAACAGTTTTGTCGCCTCCAAAAAATATTGCAATAAATATGGGACCGTCAGATGTACAGTATATCGTGACAATATCGTACTGAGAGATTTGGATATTGTTACATCTCTAATCGTGAGCCTCCCCACGATATCACAATAAATATCGTACTGTAAGGTTCATACCGTGATGATATCGTATCGTGAAACTTAGATATCGTTACACCCGTCGTTGTTATCTCTTCAAAAACACAGCTGGAGCCTTGTTTTGTTTGTTTGTTTGTTTAAGTAATGCCACGTCTAAGCTCTAAATGCTTTGTTCGACCTTGTGATTCCATGAAGCGGTGGTTTTCAAGTTACCAGCTACTTATGTTGTTAGGGTCTTTTTTCAGATGAAGAGTTTATTTTCATACCTGACAGTTTCGAATGCTCACTTGCTGTCTTCCTCAGAGCAAGTGAGCAGTCGAAATAAACTCTTGGTCTGAAAAAGAACCTAATAACATAATCCAATGAAGTACATTTGGGCTTCCGATAATTTAACATCTACTTTTTACCTTTACTTCAGTAGAGATTGGCAATTCCAGGTCTGAAATCATTCAAATGTTTCTAGTGAAGTTGTCTGGAGTTTAAAAACACAGTGGAGCACTTCCTGTATTACCACATGACCGAAAAAGATGGATTAGAGCGTTTTCAGAGCTTTTCAGAGAAGAACTCAGCCTAAATATGCAGGATTTGTGTGTTAAACTTGTGTGAATGAAACAAAACCCAACTCCAGGTTTGTTTGTGACGAGGAAACAACATTAAAACGGATCAGAAAATAACATTGGCCTTTTCATTTGCATTAGAGGAGACCTAAACTTACCAAATGACAATGACATTTACAGCTCTGTGTACATGAAGCCAAAATATAACCATGAAACAAGTTGAGGAGTTGCAGGTTCGAAGCCACTGCCATAAACTGTCACTGGTATTTATAAGGTCAGGTATTATGAAGACATAGCGATGTGTTACTCATGTAAAAGGAAGGCATGCAGGCAGATTGAGAAGAGCATTTTCACAAAAGAAAGAGGAGGAAGGAGGAGCGGACAAACTGAGACTGGGTAAGTGTTGATACGTTTTTATAAAAATGTATCCAAAAAGAAGTATTTACACAATTCTCAACAAAACAGATGCAAACAATCTCGGCAATCTCCCATAAAAGAAACCCAAGTAGGGACACAAGACACAGCTCTCCCAACTGACCGTGGCTCTAAAAAAGGAGCAACTTTTTGTTTGGGGGTCCGTCACCTGCTTGTTTCTATGGATACGTCATTGCTCTGCCTGGAATGTCCCACAGTATGACATTAAACAGCTCTGCATTGCATTTATTCAATTACAAGTGGCTTTATCGCTCAAAAATACCTTCATTCTGGCTGTGAGCGGGGTCGCCTCTCCACAGATCTGACCTGTAACTTTGTCTTGTTTGGCCTCCATGAAGAGTGAGCGGGGTCGCCTCTCCACAGATCTGACCTGTAACTTTGTCTTGTTTGGCCTCCATGAAGCTAGAAAGGTTTAATGCCATACTGTGAAACATTCCAGACAACGCGGAGAAAAGCATTTGACAGACACTCCACCAGAAAAGTTACACAATCCAACTTTAAGAAACATTGTGTTATTGCGATTTAAGAGATGGACTAATATCTCAGACCAATATTTGGACCATTTTGAAGATCAGCCCCAAAGCTCCAGCAGAGGTTTGTAAGGGAACAGGTCAATATTTCAGGCATAAAAGAAGTGATGTTATTATTGTTGTTGTTTTCCTTCATTATAGTTTTCATATTCAGGGCCAGTGCAGAAATATTCCACAGCCAACAGTGCAGGTTCGCTTGGGGGCTTTGTTTAAAAAAAAAAAAAAAAACGTTCCCGAGCACCAGGAGGGCGCTCCAGATTATCTGACGCGACCCCTGGTGTTATTTTGGCTTTTCACATTTTTTATACTAAATTATTAATTCACTAGAGAGTTCACTGGAGCGGAAAATTGTCAAGAGAGCAGTTCACAGAATAAATGAGCAGAACAGAAGATCAAATGAACCTCTTTGTTTGTCCAGTTTTCTGAAACACTGGTCATAAATGTTTTTTGCGTACCTCATGTTTGTTTGCACTGTTCCCCACATAGTAAACTACAGCAGACTGGACTCTGGAGTCGTCTTTATTTCTTCATCATCAACAGCTTCATTTCCCTTTCATCTTAAATATCACTTATATTTATTTATCATTTTACACAAAATCAAAAGTTTGAAACTTTTTACAGTTTGATTCAAAAAAAAAAAAAAAAAAAAAAAAAAAAAAAATCATACAAAATATAATCAACACTTTGGAAGAAAACTTGCTTTGAACCATTTGTGTATTCACGGACATTAGGTTCTCCAGCAGCTCCTGCGGCCGAGATACACCGAGGCAAAACAAATGGAACAAAAACTCATGTTTTAGTTTCCACCAAAGCCTGATCTTGTTCCCTTTTCCCCACAGGGCTAAACTACTTGTTTTAAGATCAAGTAAAACTTAAGATACAATACAATTTCAAAACAAAATCTATAAAAAATAACTATATTTTCTCCCAAAGCGACACATTCGTAAACGCCAGTTTTTTGATTAAAGTCTTTTATAAAAAGTGTGCTCCAATCAACGAGCACAAACCCACGCTCTGCGTCAGTGACCAGAGCTCCCCTCAGAATGTCCGTCTCCGACAGTTTGAGTGAAACAGTTTGTACAAAGTGAATATGGCTCAAAGGAAGGCACCAACGCTGCTGCAGCAGAGGGTAGATTCACACTGAATCACACATATAAAAAATAAATGAAGAGTAAATATATGACACTTTGTTTTTTAAAGAAGCTGAGAGCTTCTTAATGTTTAAAGTCGTTTTATATTACACTTTCATATCCACAAATAACATAAAGAACTTCTTTTGGTTTTCATTTAGACAGTAACTAAATAAAATTTGAATAAATAAATAATATTTTGCTTTAGCCTTAGAGCCTATTCGATTCTTCAGTGCAAACCTTAAATCTGCTGCAGACTCACACCAAACCACAGACACTTCATCATCATTGAGCAGAAGGCAAAAGAAAGTTTAAGGCAAAGAGGCAGAACTAAAGTCCCAGTTTCCAGTTTGTCTCTTTTTTGCTCCATTTGTGCTTTTACACGTCAAACTCAAGCAGAAGAAACAGAAGCCCGTCCCCACACGAGATCAGGCGGTTAGTGTTCAAAAGTGATTCTGTCGACGCCGCAGCTTCAGTAAATGTGTGGAATAGTATGTGCCACAGCAGCTCAATCATGTAAACAAGAAGAAATATGAGAACCTCTGTGATCCAGGAGCACAGACTCAACAGAAGTCGATGAGGTGACACTTCAGATCACACCAAACACTCAGAGGTTTGGCCTGTGGTTCTCTCCTGGTTTAGGCTTCATTTTGAAAAGTGACACAGATTTGTTGTTTTCAGGTCCTAGACCCTCCCTCCCCCTTGTGGATGATTTGCACATACTATTACACCCATGTACACCCCAGACCCCAGATCGTCTCCATGGTAACCTGGTCAAAGGTTAAAAGAGAAGACTTGTACTCACAAAAAATAAAATCTTGATTATCTCGAGATGAAGTCTGAATGTAACTTGACTTTAGTCTTATTGTAAAGTGACTTTAGTCTTAAAGTGCGTATGGCAAATTTTTATGATTCTCTAATTTTTACTAAAGCTGCACTATGTAACTTTTTGGTTGGGAGTCCATCACCTGCTTGTTGCTATGGAGATGTCATTGCTCTGCCTGGTATGTTCCACAGTATGACATTAAACAGCTCTACCTTACATTTATTTAATTACAGGTGATTTTATAGCTAAAAAAAAACCTAAAAAAACAGACATTCTCACTGTGAACGGGGTCGCCTCTGCACGGATCTGACCTGTAACTTGGTCTGGTTTGGTCTCCATAAAGATAAAAAGCTTTAATGCCATACTGTGAAACATTCCAGACAAAGGAATAACATCTCTATGGAGAGAAGCATTTAACGGACCCTCTACCAGAAAAGTTGCGCAGTGCACCTTTAATTTGGTGGGATAAAACCTGTTGTAAATATAAATTATAGTTTTACACCAATCAAGATGCAATTTGTGAAGAAAAGTTTAAAAAATTACAGCAAGTAGAAGGTTCTGAAAGATATTAATGACTTCATACTTATTTACTTACTTATATAATATTTTCTGATACTTTAAACGTGATTTCAACAAAATAAAGATGTTTTCTTACATTTGTCTGTGTCACATCATGATTTCTTTGTAAGTTACATTACAGTTTTAGAGTTTTGCTTGGTAACAGTTATGAAATTTCTTAGTGTAATGTCCAGATTTCCAACCAGAAAGTAACATTTTCAACCTAAAAATTGCCAAATTGGGAAAATGAGCGTGAATGTTTTTGCACACAACTGAAACTAATGATCATCACTGTGTTTTAGTGAAAGTATCTGACCTGTCATAGGCACTTTAAGACCACAGATGTCTGATAGAGTTTAAAGGTGGCACCAGTTTGACTCCATTTTAGTTAATATTTTATAATTTTGTGAATACAAGTCTTGCAGAAGCAGTCTTTAGTCTAGATGTTAGATAAAGTTCCAGTTCTGATATTAATGGAGAGAAAAGTAAGAGGATAAACCGATCACAGTCTCATCTGGTCACGTGATCTCCACAAATCAATGTTTTATTCTGAGATTTGACGCTCAGTTAAATCTTTAGCGTGGTCTTTAAATAAGCTCATGTGACTTAACCGAGCTCTGTGATTGGTTCGTGTTGTCGATGTGCAAACCAAAAGAAAAGCCTGTGTAAGTTTAAACTTATTTGATGAGGACTGACTTTGGGAGAAACGAGTCCATTTCACCGTTCCCTTCTGACGTCAAACTCCCTCCGTTTCTGGACTGTCCCATTTTTCCCTCATCTTCACTCCCTGCTGCTCCGCTTGCTCCGCCCCCTGCGCCGCCGAGGATGCTGGGAGGTTTGGGGAGACTGTACATGTAGACGGCTCCGATCACCATCCCCGCCCCCACGGTAAACATCAGATCCACGTGGAATCCGAACAGATAAACAGACGCCACAGTGGACACGATGATGGAGAAGGAGGTGGCGAATCCCTTGAGGATGTTGTCGGCGTACTTCACCACCACGGCCACCAGGAGGCCCCCAAACGCCTGGTTGAAAATCACACACCTGGGGAGGTAACAAAGTCAATCTTTAGGGAAGTAGGTTTTTAATTACTTAGTCATTAACTGGTTGATCCACCTTTACATTTAAATATGAGTTATTAGAGCAAGAGCAGCTATAGTTAAGATACGACTGGATGTTTGCTTACACCACAAACGAGGAAGATGTTTGGAAAGATGCAAATACAGTTACAATGGACTCGCCTAAAATGGATCAGTTAAAACCGACTGTGATAAAACCAACTAAAGTAAATGTCATTAGCGGTAAAATGAAGACCGCATACGTATGTGCTGTTTGGAATCTTGAATTTGGCGCCGTCATCTCTTCTAATCGCATGTACCCAGTGCGCTCGGAGTTGTCCGTCAGTGAGGAAATGATGAAAACTGACGTATGGTTGTAATTGTCGATTAGCTGAACATAACGGAGCGCTATAATGACATGTAGATGAAGAAAACTGGGCCTGGGAAGTTGTAATTGAATTTTTCCAAACGTCTTCCTGGTTTGTGACGCAAGCGTGAATAGAGATTATTTCACATCACAGACAAATACAGTGTTATTTTTAGTTAAATGTTAATTTGTGAACTTACTACTTAACTACCGTACTTTAATTTAGCGTAAATTTGTGAGTTTTGCTAGACCCGCCATGATAATCTATTAATGTTCCACTATCGACTTACTGTTCAATGAAGCTGGAACAATATATTTGGAGTCCAATATTTATCGTGGGTACTTTTTCTTTGTAAACATGGGAATATTTCGGATATTTTGGTAGTAATACAGTAACAGGGTATCCCCAGGTTTGACTACCCCAAATTTAAGACTTTTTAAAGACCTTTTTAACCCTCTCCAGGCAGGCGTTGCAGATTTTCAACAGCTAAAATCCAATTACCTACTTACTCCACATCCATATTTTATGAGCCTTTTTTACTCAGGAGCCTTTTCTCCCATCCATGCTGATAAACGTGGGCGATGCAGACTGTGCAAGAATGGCTACACGCAAACGGCCTGCCAGAAGTGCAAAATACTTTTGTTTACAAAAGATAAAAATTGTTTCTTGGAGTACCACACGAAAAAGTGATGTTGTTCTGCCACTGTAAAGCACTGTTACACTGTGCTTTATGTTTTCATTGTTATGAAAAGTGGTATACAAATAAAGTTAGCGTTCATATCATTTTCAGTCTTCAGTGTTAATTTACCACACCAGGCCAATGCTGCAAATCTGAAACATCCCAGAACACACTGGATGTGAAGGTCTCTCTCTCAAACAAAAAGTCAGGATTGTATATTACTACCCCATATGATAAGTTTCCCCAAATATCAGATTTTTCCTGATACTAAAAATTTATTTGAGCCTGAGAGGGTTAAGACCACTTAAAAGAAAATTAAGACCAACATTGAAACCATTATGCAGGCAAAAAACACTAGAGTCAATTCTAATAATGACCAACCAAATACTATGTCTAGAATCTAAGAGCCACTGTGGATTAAACCGCTTCTCCATGATCCATCCAACATCTTCCTCCACTTTACTGATTGTTTACTCATTGCCGCCGGCGCCAGAAACCAAAGTATTGTTTGCACATACTCCAAATTAGATGTTTATGCACATTAAGTGATTTCATGTTGTTGTTTTTTTTCCTCCCTCCATTTATCATTGCACTACAGCCTGGTTGAGTAAACAAAAAAATAAGATAAGGAAATTTAAGACCTTTGTGAAAAAAATAAATGTTGGACAACATAACTTTTTAAGGGCTTAATTTAGGAACATGAAATTTAAGATATTTTTTAAACTTAAGACCCTGCGGCTACCCTGAGTAAGATTTGAGCTGTAGAGGGTTGAATTACTAACTGGTCTGGCTCATTATCTGTTCATTTTTTTAACTGTAGATTTTTAGATTTGTTTATTGAGATTATCTTGCATTTTTGTTATTGTGTCATAAAGTCATTTCTATAATAACATTTGTTGCAGTATCTCTTTGTAGCGATAAATTTTGTTATAAAATGTGTTATCGTGACAGACTTGGGCCTTGCTGTAGAATCAAAATTTTAATACTGGTGTTGGCAAATGTTGGTCGGCCTGTTACAATAACACATTTTGAGGTGCGATATATTGCTGAAGAAAATATAAATGATAAATTATAATATATGAAATTAATTTATGCCACTGAAACAATAAATCTTAAGCAGAATTATCCCAGAAACTATTCTAAATGTACAATATGCTTAAAAAACACAAACTGCAATAAATAAATAGTAAAATTCAACACTTTGGTACTTAGTATGTGTCTATAATGAGTCATAAAAGTTATTAACTCAACCTTTACAGCTCAAATCTAATTGTAGAACAGGAAAAATAACAAAAAGTTCCCCATTTATACAAAGAAAAAGTCCCCATGATAAATACTGAGGCCCAAAATGTATTATTATTATGTATTATGTCATGTATTGAACCATAAGTAGATGTACTGTAGTATTTATCGTGACAGGCCTGGTAATAGTACAAATATTTTTTTACCAAACTGACCAATAGCGGCTCTGTGTACTCACCAGACCATGGAGGTGTAGCCGAAGAAGAATCCGTTCTGGGCGATCCCGGGTCCGTCGTTCCACCACATTCCCAGCAGCCCCAGCGCCGTACCGAACATGCCGAGCTGAACGTTTCTCACCCACACCGAGGCGGCGCTGCCCTTTAGGATCTTTTCAAAATAAACTCCGGCGAAACCAGAGGAGAGACAGCTGATCACCACGGCAACAAGCCCCACCATGTAATTCTGAGAGGAGCTGTCGGACACGGACGTCTCCTTCTTCCCCTCCTGCTGTACCTGTCAGAGCCACAAGAGGGCGCATTACACACGGGGAAGATCAGGAAACACAAGCTGAACTAAAGATTAAAAAAATAAAACAATATTAATAATTGATCTTAAGATTTAGCATGTGGTTTAGAAAAGAGTACATACTTAAAAAAAAAAAAAAAAAAGCAATGATTAAAAGACTGCATTAGACTTAGACAAAGGTTATTGATCCACAAGGGAAATTACTTTAACACAGCAGCTCACATATCACGATAAATTATAATAACAAAAAGCAAAAATATAAATGATAACAATAAATTCAAAATAGGTAGCAAAAATATCAAGAGACTAGAGTCAAATAAGGCCTAAAGTGGATACAGAGACTCGACAAACCCAATATTTATACAATTAAATATGCTGAAATGTAATTAATTGGTAGAACTTCTTATTTTAAATTAATAATTAATTTAAAGCAAATCAGCAGATCTTGTCCAGCAATCTCCAAAGAACATTTACAAAGAGAAATCTAAAAATAAATAAACAGGTTCAGAACAACAACAATGGAAAAATGTGATTCAATCAGAGGTGTGAGCTTATGGAACAGACTAAATGAAGAGAATATATATATACATATATATCAAAGCTTAAAATGTGTTTAAAAGAAATGTCAAAAATTATATGCTCAAAAAAGTATGACCTGTCCTTTTGTGTTAATTAACAAGTATTTAATACTGTGTATTAAATAAGTTGCTTATAAATGTTGTTGGAACTGTTGAAGTGTTAGAAATGTTTTACTTTGTGTGAAAAGGAGGCAGATATTACAAGTCTGTACTTCTTTCTGCTCCTTTTCATTCACACTGATGCATGAAACATAATTATTTTGTATTCATCTTTCATGAACGAAAAAAAAAATGAAATGAAATGAAATGTAAATATATGAACAAGTAAAATAAAATATAGTAATACAAATATATCTCAGTTATATACAAGAGGTCAAAAGGAAAAACAGTGCAAAGATGAAATAATGACTGACAGGACATGGGGGTTATCTGTGACATAAGATTGAGTTGTTGTGCAGTTGTAGGGAGTATTATCTGTGACATAAGATTGAGTTGTTGTGCAGTTGTAGGGAGTATTATCTGTGACATAAGATTGAGTTGTTGTACAGTTGTAGGGAGTATTATATGTGACATAAGGGTGAGTTGTTGTGCAGTTGTAGGGAGTATTATCTGTGACATAAGGGTGAGTTGTTGTGCAGTTGTAGGGAGTATTATCTGTGACATAAAGGGTGAGTTGTTGTACAGTTGTAGGGAGTATTATCTGTGACATAAGGGTGAGTTGTTGTGCAGTTGTAGGGAGTATTATCTGTTACATAAGGGTGAGTTGTTGTGCAGTTGTAGGGAGTATTATCTGTGACATAAGGGTGAGTTGTTGTGCAGTTGTAGGGAGTATTATCTGTTACATAAGGGTGAGTTGTTGTGCAGTTGTAGGGAGTATTATCTGTGACATAAAGGGTGAGTTGTTGTACAGTTGTAGGGAGTATTATCTGTGACATAAGGGTGAGTTGTTGTGCAGTTGTAGGGAGTATTATCTGTGACATAAGGGTGAGTTGTTGTGCAGTTGTAGGGAGTATTATCTGTGACATAAGGGTGAGTTGTTGTACAGTTGTAGGGAGTATTATCTGTGACATAAGGGTGAGTTGTTGTGCAGTTGTAGGGAGTATTATCTGTTACATAAGGGTGAGTTGTTGTGCAGTTGTAGGGAGTATTATCTGTGACATAAGGGTGAGTTGTTGTGCAGTTGTAGGGAGTATTATCTGTTACATAAGGGTGAGTTGTTGTGCAGTTGTAGGGAGTATTATCTGTGACATAAGGGTGAGTTGTTGTACAGTTGTAGGGAGTATTATCTGTGACATAAGGGTGAGTTGTTGTACAGTTGTAGGGAGTATTATCTGTGACATAAGGGTGAGTTGTTGTGCAGTTGTAGGGAGTATGGTATAAATATAGTCATAGAATATAATGTAATGTAAAGTAATATTGAAACAAAAGACATTTTATTTGTTTTGAATAAGAAAAAGTAAGTTGCATCAAAAACTGATTGCTCGAGTAAAAGGATAGGGATAAATGCTTGTACTAGAGAGACTGATTTATAAAACTGATATTTGCACTTTAAAACACATTGACTGGTAGGCAAAAAGTGAGTGGGGCCGCTTGTTTGTGTTGACATTGCGTTGTGCATGTCTGTCATGAGAAAACTCGTCATATTTTGAAGTACATTTTGCATTTAATTGTTTTGACATGACTTCATCATCTTACTCTAAGTCACTGAATGTTGAGGATCAAAAACGTTACTTTGAAAAGTTAAAACTCGCAGATAATTGTTGACGATGTTGATGTTGTACTGTTGATATGGACGCTTTTACCTACCAAAACGCCCCAAGACGTCATTGTGTTTTGTCATATACACACAACGCTTTATTTGAGCACTTGAGTAGGAAGAAATAACTGCACAAAACCTGACTACACAGGTTTCTCGTTTGTGGTAAGAAGGGCTGTTGGTGAGCTTGTAATTTTATATCATTTGGGGAAAATAATAAAAATCTTATACAGTATATTCCAAAAATATCGGCAAAGCTTATCATCCATTGTTTTTTCTAGTCATTTGTATTGCCTTTTTTTTTTTTTTTGTTTTGTTTTTAGACTGTGGGAGCCACCAGTCTCCTCTATTAAAACACTGAATTACATTCCAGGGCATGACTTTTTAGCCAAATTAGTTCATGTTCAAGAGGAAATATTTTTCTTGGAAGTTCTTGTTGTGTACAGTTTTGCATCTTGCTTTTGCATAATTATGGAGAATTTGTGTGGGAGCATGGCTGACGGAGGCTGGTGGGCTGAGAATGGCAAAGAATCTTACAGCCTAACAATAAGAAGGGGTCAAATAGGGTCCAGGAGAGATCGCCAAATTACTCAAACATGCATGGATGACATTTAAAACCTCTTCAGGCACGTTTTTGACAAGGAAACAATGTTATAACAAGGAAGAAAACAAAACAAAAAAGTCCTATATCCTCTATTTCTCTTAATTGACTTGAGTGGATTAGACTTAAAAGCACTGACCTGAACGATGGCGACTCCAGCGAAGAGCAGCAGCAGAGAGACCCACTGGACCCTGGACAAGGACTTTCTCAACATCAACACCGAGAACAGGGCTGTGGTGAGGATCTTTAACTGGTACGTCACCTAGAAGAGGAACAGTTTATGTCATGACAGGAGCAGAGCCAGAGGAATAACCAGGAGCAAACAAATATGACTTGAATGTTTGACCTTAAACATGTCATGAAATGGACAGTCTAAATCAAACACTGTGTAACTTTTCTGGAGAGGGTTTGCAACCTGTTTGTCTCCATGGAGATGTTAATGTTTTGGCTCTTTTGGTCCACAGTATGGCATTAAACTAATCTGTCATGCATTTATTCAACTACAAGTGTTATTTACTGCCCAAAAATATCTTAAAAAACATAAATTCTTATTGTGAGTGGGGTCGCCTCTCCACAAATCTAACCTGTAATTTGGCTTGCAAGTCTCCATGGAGATTCTCAAGTTTATGGCCATACTGTGGAACATGGGACATCTCCATGGAGACCAGAAGGTGACGGCTTTAACTGAGTTTGTAAAAGTAATGCTATAATGTTAAATTGTTTGCATTTTGGGTTTTTTGCCTCTTCCTGTGCCTACTTTTTTATTGTTATCTGGCATAAGTGAAAAATAAATCAATAAAATAAATAAATATATATTGGTACCTGGAAGGTGGCTGCAGGGAGGTTGGAGATGGCGATGTACTGCAGGTTGTTCTGGAGTGTGTAGATGAGGGAGGGCACGGCCAGCTTCAGCGTGTCCTTGTACTGTACAACAATAGAGTCGTACAGGGACAGCACCGTGTCCTTCACATTCACTGAAGGAACAGAAATGTTTATCACAAAACACAGACAAAACAAAACAAGGATAGATATTTCAGTCACAATAGTCGAAAATGAAGGTTGGTATTCAATATTTACTTGTGTTGTGAGCTTTAGGCGTAGACTGTATGGACATAGCTAAGGTGCTGGATGATGCGTTCCAAATAGGAAGTTCACATGGGGGCGCTTCCAGTTTCTTCTGACAATGGCTCCCATTGACTCACATTGGAATATTATCACCCCTCTCTCTGTAACTTCTGCAGTTAGCTTCATCATTTTGGTCTTAAAATGTTCGTATTAACCCACTCTACATCCATCCTAGTGTTGTTTTTTTTTTCCACTATGTTGACCATTAAAAAAACCTTATGCAGAATATCGAGCCTGGCTCCGAATTTGCCCTTGTAACCGCCGGTATCGTGAAGTTCTTTTGAGTGAAGCTGAATGACGTCCACAGTTTTAAGTCATGTTAAAATGATTTATAATTACCTGGAGTTGTATTTTGTTTCATTCACACATGTAACAATAACCAAAATACTGTGATATTGTATCGTCAAAAGTCTTACAGTAATATCATGGGCTGTCTCAATATATCAAATTACAAGTTTCTTTACTTAAATGCATGGTTTTATAGTAGCAGCAGCTTATAAACATAGGAAACTGTATAAATATTATACCGAGAGATGCATATCGTGATAATAAAATATTAATATCGTTACATCCCTAATTATAAGTCATCTCCTGTGCTCAAAATGCTCCGTTCGACCTTGATGAATGTCATGAAGTGGTAGTTTTAAAGTTAACATTTTACCTTTAGTTCAGTAGGGATTGGTAATTCTGAGGATGAAATTATCTAAATGATTCGAATGAAGGTGTATAGAGGTTAAAAACACAGTGGAGCACTTCCTGTATTACCACATGACATGACAAAGTGGAGTACTTTCAACTTATGGAAGACATCACACTCCCTCAGCCCACTTCTTTATACAGTCTGTGATAAACACCCATGTCAATCCTGCCCTTTGGAATCAGGAAGACAGGACCCACAAGGTTTGATTTGTCTTTGTCAAGTTTTAACAAAGTGTGTGGTTATTGCTGCCCAGGTAATGTCACATCTGCATTCAGTGGACTCAAAGAACAACAGCTGACTATCCCGACATCTTGGTGATCCCTACAGTGCTCCGGGGTTGTACATTTCTGTGGTTTAAATAGTGTTTGGGCCTGTGTGCTGTATACAGTGAGCGTGTATCTGCGCTGGGACTCACATCTCTTCTGCAGCAGGATGATGAGGAGACAGGTGAGCAGCTTCAGCACCTCGGCCATGACCACGGCGGAGGTGGCGTAGAAACGGTCTCCGGGGAGAGTCCGCACGAAGCGAATGGACAGGATCAAGGACGCGTTCTGCACCACCAGCACAGCCAGAGAGATGTACTTCAGCTTCTTGTTCACTGAAACACACAAGCAGATCCATCAAATACTGATCTTAAAATATGATTTTTATTTTATTTCCTTTTCTATTGCAACTTAAAGGTCCTATTTTACGCAAAATTGACTCTTGTGAGCTTTAAGGCATGTTATAATGTCGCTACCTGCATCTACTTCTCAAAAACATACCCAGAGTTGATTTTATTTCATTCACCCATGTTTGAGTAATCCTTTATTATTAGCATTTTCAGCTTCCACCTTCCGATGTCATGCAGTGGTAGTTTTCAAGTTAACAGTTTGGGGCGTGCAAAAATATCGAAATATTGAAATATCGTATCGGTTATTGTGATGATACAGAATCTATATCATGAGTTGCAGTATCGATATATCACCGAGGGTATATTTTTGCATATTTTACTTAATTATTTTGTTACAGTGCGACAGTTTTGTTGCTTGTTTAGTGGAAGAAATCTCGTTTATGCAACACATTTGACCTTTTCACTGTTTTAATGATTAAAATGTTTGTGTTTCATATAAACTTTGCACAAGAAGTGGTTCAACAAAGATTTTTAGCATCACAGCCACGATTTAGCCTTTATTTTTTATTGAAGAATATTGAAACAATTTGAAATATGTACCTCAATACAGTGCACTTTCGATTTGATAAAATACGGTATATCATATCTGCAACTTCTTAAAGATACCCAGCCATACTAACAGCTACAATTTAACTTTTGTTCAGTAGAGATTGGCTATTCCAGGTCTGAAATTATCAAAATGATTCTAGGGAAGGTGTATGGAGTTTGGAGGAACATTATTATTATTGTATTTTGACATCAGAAGGTGGTGGATTTTTTGTTTTGTTTTAGCAAGCCTAAATATGCAGGATTTCTGTGTTAAAAATGTGTAAATTAAACAAAACACAAAAGAAATTTGCATCATGGGCCTTTTCCAAATATCATGCATCCACCTCGCAGAATGTCCAAGTGTGGAGTAAAGTAGAACTACCGTATTTTCTGCACTACTGTATTAGGAGCTCTGGATTATAGGACGTCATTGAACGGTCTATTTTCAAACTTTTTTCACAAATAAACCACACCGGACTTTAAACGAAACAGAACAGTTCGATGGGTCAGTGGGACTTTGTTTGGCGCGTTCACGGTGACTCTGGGCTTTGTTCAGTTGTGGCGTGTAGGGAGGGTGCTGTCTGGGACCAACGGATTGTCGGCATGTTCGCAGTGACTCAGTTGTTCAGTTGTGTCTAGAAGTGGCACTTTGCACTCGCTTTTTCAGTTCATTCCTCCGTTGTGTTCTTCGTCCGCGTGGAGTGATGAGTGTGTCTGCGGGTGTTTTTCGCTGTGCGGTCGCTGTCTGCTCCGTGTGTGTTTGCGTGAGCTGCGGGTGGTGCGGCTTTGTAGTTTACTGAAGTCGTGCTGGGACACCCGAGTGGGTTCGTGTATAGGGCGCTGTGGATTGCGGGGCGCACAGTTGTTTTTTGATGGGGTTGGAGGCTTAAGAGCGCGCCCAATAGCCCGGACAATACGATATATAAAAACCTGGACTAAACTAAGATCTACCATTCATTAAATTATTATTATCAAAGGAATAACCTCTGGAGAAGCATAATTTTGTTTCCAAACGAGTTTTCAAAGTACCCAAACTAAACCAGTAAACCAAATATGTCAGAGTGCAGAGTAGACCTCTAAAGAAATGTTCTCTTTCCTGAAATACAACCCCAGAGTTAAGATGGTGGTTTTCAGTTGGAACTTGTCTGACAGGGCTGCGTAACAAGTTTGAGAATTGCTAATGAAGACAAGTTAGTTAAAGATCTGAACTTTCCATTTGGTTATTTACTAATTGCAATGAAACTATAGCACAATATATTACTGTGGACAAAGCATGAAGCATCGAAACCGGTTTAAAGCAGTTAATGGAGGAAATCAATTCTTGGGAGTCAAGTCAATTCATACTTGAAGTTTATGAATCATGTGATAAAAATATACAGTACAGTAGGCTATTTTGTCTTTTGTGCAAGATGTGATTATGCGATTAAAACCTAATTTGCTCAAACAGCTGTCTCCTAGAATGCAATGAAAGAGTGGGACAAAACCAGACTGAACGACAAAGCCAAATAAACTATGTAACATTTTCTGTGGAGCTTAAAAATAATTGTGGAAAAGCCAAACCTGCAGCACTTTCTATGCACTCTATAGTAATGCGAGTAATTCTAGTATATTGTATTTTTTGTAAGATATGGACTGATGTAATGGTGAAGTGTAGATGTGGTAGGTCAATATGTATTTTTTAGATGAAACAAAGGATTTTGTAAATACCTAATGAAATTCAGTGACTGCAGACAGAAGATAGTAATTTAGCAATAATCTGATGCAGAACAAAATTTTTTTATTTTTTTTTATTTTAAAAGGTGCATTGTGTAACTCTTCTGTGTAACTTTCCACCCATGGTTTAATGTAAAGTTTTTCACAGTATCAGAGAGTGAAAAGGCCAGACTTTTGAGCCATATACAAACATGCAAATGAGGGAGGCAGAACATTCACAGGTAAGATTTTATTTTGTAGGCCTATGACACTAAATGTTGTGTTTTGAACCCAGATGACAGAAACCAGGACTAGACCAGGACTAAACCAGTAATAAACCAGAGCTGAACCAGGACTAAAACAGGATTAAACCAGGGCTGAACCAGGGCTGAACCAGGATTAAACCAGGACTAAACCAGGGCTGAACCAGAGCTGACCCAGGGCTGACCCAGGATTGAACCAGGACTAAACCAAGATTGAACCAGGACTAAACCAGGACTAAACCAGAGCTGAACCAGAGCTGACTAAACCAGGGCTGACCCAGGATTTAACCAGGACTGAACCAAGACTAAACCAGGGCTGAACCAAGACTAAACCAGGACTGAACCAGGACTAAACCAAGACTGAACCAGGACTAAACCAGAGCTGACCCAGGACTAATGGTAAATGGTCACATTTTTCTATAACGCTTTTCCACCTTCAAGGTGGTCAAAGCGCTTTACAACAAGGAACCACTCACCCATTCACACACCAGTGTAAGCAGACACTGTGGGCAAGGTGTCTTGCCCAAGGACACAACGGCAACATTCATCTGTGGGAGCTGGAATCACACCAGCCAGTGGATCTGACCGCTCAACCTACGATGTTTATGTTGAGAGCGGGATTCGAACCGCCGACCTTCAGATCAGTGGGCGAATGCTCTACCAACTGAGCTACTACCGACTGAACCAGGATTGAACCAGGACTGAACCAAGACTAAACCAAGATTGAACCAGGAGTAAACCAGAGCTTTGTCCGTGGGAAACACCGGTGGTGGAGGATCCCTCAAAAGCTTTTCTCAATGCAGCTGTTATCACCTTGTCTGGAATGTTTCACAATATGACATTAAACCTTTCTATGTGCATGGAGAACAACCAGACTAAGTTACAGGTCAGATCTGTGGAGAAGCAATCCTGCTCCCAGCCAGAATATCTGTTTTTCAAGGCATTTTTGTGCAATAAAATGCAAATGTAAGCAATATAAAAAATATATAAAAGTATGTAAGTAAATGTAAAGTGGAGCTGTTTAATGTCACACTGTGGAACATTCCAAGCTGACGATCCCCAACCATAAAGTTACATAATGTACAGTGTACATTGCCCCTTCAAAAAAAAAACAAAAAAACTAAACTAAACAAACCAAGCCTAACTTCTGATTACAAGGCTAGTATCAAAGTCTAATCACTCAATTAAAATACTGTCCTACTTTAACTGTGTGCTTTTAACTGTATGTTTTAATAATATTTATCTTGTTTATGTTGTTGTAAAGCGACCTTGGGTGTCCAGAAAGGCGCCTCATGAATAAAATGTATTATTACTATTATGTTTTACTATTAAAGTATGTATAATACAGTAGCGTGCGTGCATTGTCAGGAAATTCATTACCTGTATTCATCTAAACAATAATGATACACCTCAACAGTCAGCCAGGTTGAGGCGAATTAGCTTTTGTTAGCGTGCTTAAGAGACAAATTATTCATGTATTATTGTGAGTTGAAGTGTAGTTTTGTTAAATCTGTGTTGTGTCGGTGTGTCACAGCAGGAAACCCACTTTACACGTGGATTATTTACTCGTAAAACAGTTCCGCGTTAAACCAAAGTGACGCTAACGTGGAGCCCAGCTATGTCCTGTTAGCATTAATCTGAAGCATTTTATTTACGATTTGCTTATATTTATGTTCGAGTTTATTTTTTTATTGTGTTATAGGACGTGTAAAGCCGCAGGAAACATGGTTAGTGTCGTTATAGCACGTCGATGTTGAGTGAAATGTTAGATCAGACCTAATTTTTCCTCTTATGCTAGCTGCTGCCAGTGTAAAGTTGACACATTTTACGTTTAACAGCTAAACACAGTCACAATGGAGATTCATGTAAGTCACCGCTATAAAATAATAAAAATCTGCATTAATTTAACACTGTAAATTCCTCTTTTACCTTCACTCTGAGCCCGACTCACTCCCCTCTCCTCCCCAGCCTTGGTGAAGTTTCCTCCGGCCATGGCTGCGTCCGTGGAGAGCGGAGCCTGGTTCTGCAAAGGCTCTCGGGCTGCGTGTGGCTCCCCGGACCGAAACACCGAGTCCCGGCGGTGGGTGGCTGCTGGAGGAGGCGGAAAAAAGGGCCACGATGAGGGAAGAAGGTGTCACTTTGGAGTCCGAGAGGGGAGTCCGGGTCCAGCGCCGCAAAACAGAGGCGTACATGGAACAAGAGGTGAGGAAAGTGAAGGTGTCTCACTCTGCGCGCAAACTAACGTGGAATTATAGAACCGTAGATGTCGCGTTCAGACTCTCGGTATGCGTTAATACCGCCGCCATCTTGGTACTGGAGTTCCATGGCCCCATAAACACATTTTCTTACAGTTTTAAGAAATATATTACACCTAGTGCCTCCGCTCAATTTCATTTCTTTCCAGCAACTCGGTCAGGAATCAAAATACACTAGATCAGGGGTGTCCAAACTTTTTTCATCAAGGGCCACATATCTAAACACAGACGAAGCAGAGGGCCCTAGACTGGTGCTCAGTAAAGTGAATGATTGAAATACGTGCAAGTTTAACACATTAGAATGAGACATCAGCCTTTATTCCTGCTAAGATCCTTAAACCCACACACTAAATATTCAATATTAGCTTTATCAAGGTAGATTTTCAAAAATCTTGCAGTAAAATGTTAATTTTTAATTGATGTAAAGTGATTCGGATCAAGTCACATGGAAGCCTGGGGGCCAAGAAAAATTTGTCAGAGGGCCGCATTTGGCCCACGGGCCGTAGTTTGGACAAGCCTGCACTAGATGGTTTGCAAAAACCCCGGAAGTGCAAGTTTGGGCACCAGACAATCAGCGAAGAGCCATATATTCTGTGTTGTTAACGATTCCTGAGATCGAGGATTTAAAGCCAGAAGAAAGAGAATGTTTATTGAATTTCATCAAGAGGAAACATGTTTTTGCCCTTCTTCCTACAGGATTTGGGAAAAGCATAATATAGCAGTAAAGCCCCGATAGTAGCACATTACATACGTGACTACCAAATAATAGCGATTGGTTAAATGATAAAAAGTGCCCGCCTACCGTAGAGTGAGTGAATTCTAACACTGCACAGAGGTCAGACGGTTTCTACAAAGTGAAACCGGCTGATGAATCAGGTTAGAAATATATTGTAGTTTAAAAGAAAACTTGGACTACACAAAACTCTACACAATACAGAAGGAAAAAAATATTTAATAATTCTCAAATCTCAATTAACTTTTTATATTCTAAAGGTTCACTGTGTAATTTTTCTCGTGGAGTCTGTCAAATGCTTTGCTCCATGGAGATGTCATTACTCTGCCTGAAATGTTCCACACTATGGCATTAAACAGCTCTACCTTACATTTATTAAACTACGGGTGGTTTTATAGCTCAAAAATACCTAGAAAAACAGGTATTCTGATTCTGAGCGGCATTGCATCTGCACAGATCTGACCTGTAACCTGTAAATCTGGTTTGGTCTCTATGAAGATACAAAGGTTTAATACAATACTGTGACCCTTTGGTTGACTCTGACTGGTCTGGTTAAGATAATTTGGAATTACAAAAGATGCATTGCTTTTATTTTAGAGATGTTTTTTTAAATGAAATTTTTTGAAAGGCAACCTCACTTTTTCATAACATAAACTCTTACCAGTGTGACCAGCTCATCAAAACAATGAAAGAAAGAAATACAATTAATATTATGCAGAATTGAGTTTGAGCATTTTGGCCCGGCCCTCTACAATATTTTCTGTTTCTCATGTGGCCCCATGGAAAAAGTAATTGCCCACTTGTGGTTTAATGTAAAGTTTTTCACAGTATTAGTGAGCAAAGATGCCGGATTTTTGCACCGCATACAAACATGCAAATGAGCAGAATAAGAAGACGTAAGAGCAGAACATTTGATAAGTAAGATTTTATTTTGTAGGCCTATGATACTAAATGTTGTGACTGAACCCAGGACTAGACCAGGACTAAACCAGCACTGAACCAGAGCTGAACCAGGGCTGAACCCGGACTAAACCAGGATTAAACCAGGGCGGAACCAGGGCTGAACCCGGACTAAACGAGGACTTAAAAGGATTAAACCAGAGCTTAACCAGAACTAAACCAGGACTGAACCAGGACTAAATCAGGACTACACCAGGATTGAACCAGAACTAAACCAGAGCTGAACCAGGACTAAACCCGGACTAAAACTAGGATTGAACCAGGACTAAACCAGGACTAAACCAGAGCTGAACCAGGACTAAACCAGGATTGAACCAGGACTAAACCAGGCCTAAACCAGGACTGATGGGGGAAGGAAGGTGATGCTACTTGGTCTGTGGGAAACATCGATATCAACTTGTCCCCCATTGATGTTCATTCATTTAAAGCAGCCTTACCCCGTACCAAGATGGCGGCTTTGTTGACGCATTCCTTCCAATAAACAGCGGGAGTCAATGCGAGTTCTACCGTTCAATATCTATGGCAACTACAACAACAATACACTCAAACACACACTGATTATAGGTGGAATACATATATTTTTGGTCAAACCTACACTATACATTACACTACATTATACACTATACACATATACGTATTTAAACTTACAAAAGTGACGTTTTTCAGTGGTCAGAGTGAGTGCTCCTGTCAGTGAAAGATGCTCTCTGGTATAAACAGACGCTTCCTTGTTCAGGTCGAGCGCAGGTTGATCAGGAAGGATTTGATTGGCTAAAACCCAAGGCCTCACCTGAAAAAGACGCAGTGTTTAGCGCCGCTTTAAGGTCAACTAAAGTGTGACCTCTTTCACGACATGAAAAAGTCTCTTGTTCATTTCATAATCCTAGAAAATTAATGTTACTCGCTTCTTTTAAAACATACTTTTATTCTCTGGATTTTAACACCGCGTGAGTTGTGAGGTCCTCTGTTGTCTTTTATTTATTTAATTTTTTTTTACAAGGACTACTGGAGTTTTATTTTTATGAGAGTATTATTTTATTTTATTTTATTTATTTTATGAGAGCTTTATTTTTATGTTTCTATTGTATGTTTTATTTGTTTTGTGCAGCACTTTGGAAACTGTTGTTAATAAAATGTGCTATATAAACAAAGTGTATTAGATTGGAATGCTTTTAATTATTATTATATGACACAAGGATTATTATACATCTGTGACTACACCCTATCATAAATATGAGTGTAGGTTTTGTTTACAGAGGCCATTTTCAGGACTTTTGGCTATTCAAAGGAAATATTTTAAGTTGTTAATTGCTACGGCTGCCAAAAATAAAACAGACAAAACAAGGAATCTATTTGTTCAGAAACGTTTTCTTTTTATTCCAAGAAAAAAAAAGTATTTTCATCCCAAACAGGAAAATAAAATAAAACAAACTTATATAATTATTAATACAACATTATTCAATCAACAGGAGAAAGGATCACAATTTTCTCTTTTCTCTCCTTTTTTATTATTGACTTTTTTCTAAGATGATATTAATTGGTGGTGGTCATTACACATGCAGCTAAATAAGTCTGATGGTGCAGGATGACAAAGGGAGAGGGGAGGAGGGCTCAGGCTAAAATGTGGTTTTCAGGCCAAGAAAAAAAAAAAAAAAAAAACACTTTTGAAATGGTTCAATTACGTGCTATGACAATTTCCAGAGGTGCAGTTTTTAAAAAGCGCTAATCCAAGACATTTATGCATAAGAAAGTAAGATTTTAATTTGGATTTTTAAAACATTTTTAAGGAAATTTTGAGTTTTATTTTGGCATTTAAATTTAGTAATTTCAAGTTTCTGTAGAATCAACAAATAGAAATATTAAGTGCCAGAACTTTAACTTTACAGTTATTTTAACACAAGAAAAAATATCTGTACATTTTACAGATCACTCTTTATCATGGATTTCCTCCTTGCAAAGCGCTCATTTAATGAACTACACCCGTTAAACAACCGTCATTATAGCAAAGAACTAGCTTTACAAAACAGACTTTAATATCAACATGCTAAGTTAGCCTTTTTAGAGGGGAAGGGTGGGTCAGTTTCATGATTTAATTCTGATTTTATCAAATTATTTCACAGTCTTTATACATGTTTTTGGAAAAAAATGAATGGAAAAAGAAAAACAGTAATACAGATTAAGAGACCAAAGTAAGACTTTGAGGTGATTTTGAGCTTGTTTGGAAAACGCCATTAGTAATATCATAAACTACCCACTGGCATTTTTCCTAGAATATAGAATATTGTGCAAATTTGAATGTCAAGTCCAAGGAGTTGTTGCTAACTATTGGGGCCTGTAAGTGCTCACAAAATCAGATGAACTGCCGCAACCTTTTGACTTAAAGATCCCCTATTATGCAACATTCTGACAATTTTAGCTTTGTGTGTATGAATGAGTGTATGAAGTGTTCTGTGTATGTTTTTAATTTCATCCCTCCGGACACTGGGTCATTATGTAGCATTAGAATCAAAAAAGACAACTCAAAATACTCCAGGTTGGATAATGAGGAGTAAACAACAATATAAAATGGTTTAATGCTCAAAAATGTCAAAACAGCATAATAGAGGAGCTTTAAGTAGCAACATCAGTAAAACTGAGCTTAGTTCTTAAAAGAAACCCATGTTCATATTATAACATGCCTATAATTCTCAGCTCATGTTTGAGTTGAAGAATGAAGAAACTAAAGGGTGCATCTGATGATTTATTTGGGTCCTGTGTGTGAAGTTGGTGGGAGGAGGGACAGTGGAGAGAGGAGTGAAGGTAGTGGAGTTGAGGATGGTTGTCTGTATCAGCTGCTGTCTGGGGAAGGCTCTCTCTCTCTGTGCATGCTGCTGGAGCTGCTCTGCCGCTGTTTGATGCTGTCTAAATACTCCTGCTGGGACACCGCCAACACAGAAGCCAGGATCTCATCGTCCTCCCAGTCTGTCAGACCTAAGGACAGAAACACTTGAAAACGGCTGCTGGAAGACCAAGATGTAATAGTCATCTATTTTAAAGTAAACAAAAGACTTATACTATATTATAACTAACTAACTAACTAACTAACTAACTACACTCTCACCAAAAGCAGTGGGGGACATTTCCTGCATTATAGCTCTGTATTCCAGATGGTGACGACTTGGATTACTGGGACCTAGATTACAAACACACACACACACACAGTTACAATTATTACTGATCACTGGTACTGTCAAAGAAACCATGACTATCACTTCCATGCACAAACATCATATTGACTCTTTTTTAAATAATTTGCACCCGGCTTTGTGCACAACAGTGAACACGCATCACTGTTACAGCCGGTGAACAGTGACTGCAAGTCTGCTGTGTTTCAGGACTCGCACGGGTCCCTCAAGACTTAAATCAGAATTAAGTAACATTTTTACCTTAATTAATGTCTTTCAAAGAGCCTCTGATGGTTACATAATGACATTTTGGGGTGTTTGAAGGGTACACTGGCACAAGTGTCTCTGGGCGGAAAAACCAGACACGCAACTTGGAAGCCACTGACCCGGTGGCAGCTCCCTGGGCTCTGTTCTTGTTCTCGCAAGAGCCAAAGTGCTTAAGGCACTTCACCATACACAAAGGTAACAGAGCTGCGACACTCCCCTTACTGACCCTATCCGCAGATCACTGCAAGAATAAATATCTAGTGTTTATTTGTGAGGTGTAAGCCATGACACAACCAGTTACGAGACAGTGCAAGCCTTTGTCCAAGGACGCAAGGAAAAGAAAACGTGAATCGGACCCCGATTCACATGGAGCCCAATCTCACATGGAGTCAATGTGGGGAAGGCGTTTGAGGAATAACAGAGCTCAAGGAAAGAGAGGGAGCGATGCAGATCTGCCAATATTGTTATTGAACATTTAAGTTTCATATGCAGTGCTCGTATCATTGTTATAGTTATGTAACTTGAGTAATTGTTAGCTTTAGTACGCAGTTATCTTATTCGTAGATGCTATTATTAGCAGCCTCAGTTTTCCATAGTAGCTATGAAGCTGAACCATTTGACTGACACATGTTTGTATAAATCCTTTGATTTGAGCGGCTAATGTGTGTTCTTTTGCAGGATGTGTACAGCTTATGTTGTCAATGTGCAAAAACAAGTGCAATTTGGAAATTTGGCCCTGACGTGATATCTGACTATGGCTAACATCACACCAGCATCAAACGGGTTCATGCATTTGACCTCTGCACCCTGTCACTCTGACCTCTGAGGCGTGCAGGTGCAGGAGAGGCTCAGGTCTGCGGAAAGAATCCACAAGAAGTCTATTTTTGGCGCACACCGCAGGGGTCTGGAGAGATTTTCAGGTCATTACACATGAATTATTGAGTGAACTAAAGTGAAACCACATTGCTTTGGTCAAACACACATCGCTGCTGTTGTACGTATCACAGCGCACTTGCAGTCATTGTAAATCCGGCGTTGGCAGACTGTTCCTGTTACTGTTCAATTCTATTTCTATAGGGTTTTTCCAAGTTACACTAAAATGAATAAATACTTAACGATAACGCAGTGAGTTGTGGGTGGATATATCACTGAAGATATTTTTAAGAATTTACAAATGCTCACTCCTGCATTTATAAAGGTGTTTTTGTCTAAATTCTAACGCTAATGCTGATTTTGAGGAACAATGAATGTTAAAATTACGCCACAATAAAATAAAACTCTCACCCGGAGCACAGGGGGACGGAGGTTTGCTGAGGATGAGTGCAGCGCCCCCTGGAGACGGAGGTTTGTTGCTCGTCGCCGTAGCGGTGGTGAGGTCGGAGTGAGTGGTGTCTGTTTCCCGTTGTCGTGGCGACCGGGCACTCCAGTCGTCCAGTCCACTCGATGCAGCTGCCGTCGCCGAGCTGCAGGTGGCGCTGGCTTTACGAGGCTTTGAACATAAAAAAAGAAATACTTAACCTTTGGCAAAAACTACTAATGTTTCAAATGTACTACTGGACTAGCTCAGAAAAAAGGACTGAAGGATAAAACTGGACGTGCATGTGCAGCTGTGGTACCTGTCTGGTCTTCTCCTGGTCCTGGAGCCACTGCAGGTACGACTCTCGGGCCACCTGCTCCTCGATGGCCTCATTTGTGGCCTCCCAGTCAGTGGCGCGCTTCTTATCTTCCAACATCTGTTGCTCAATCCATGACTCTTCTGAGGTCTTTATGGCAGACTTCATCAGTGACTGGTCTGCGTACTGGAGGAGACATCGAGAGCAGACAAATGATTTAATGATTCTGGAAAATACTGGAACGTTTACAAATAGGTCTAAACTCGATTAAGGGTCCGATATTGCACAAAATGGATTCTTGTAAGCTTTAAGCCATGTTATAATGTTGTTACTTTCCTCAAAAACAAACCTGGAGTTGTGTTTTGTTTCATTTAAACATGTTTGACTAATCCTGGTTTATTCGTCTGTTTACATCTCCAAAGCTCAAAATGCTCTGCCCCACCTTGTCATGTCAAGAAGCGGTAGTTTTGAAGTTGAACAGCTACATTTTAACTTTCGTTCAACAGAGATCTGCAATTCCAGATCTGAAATTATCCAAATGATTCTAGAGAAGGTGTATGAAGTTTAAAAGCACAGTAGAAAACTTCCTGTATTTGTGTTTCAGTTTGAAAGAAGAACTCAAACCCAAACATGCAAGATTTGTGTATTAAACTGAATAAAACAAAACACAACTCTGGGTTTGTGATGATTAAACATTATAACAGAGATCAGAAAATTGTGTAACATGAGCTGTTTAAAAGTGTATTGAGTAATTTTTCTGGTGGAAGCTTCCTGGAAATGTTATAACTTTGTTTGGAACGTTTCACAGTATGGCGTTAAATCTTTCTATCTTCGTGGAGACTAAACCAGACTAAGTTACAGGTCAGGATCTGTGGACCCCGCTCACAGTCAGAATTCCTGTTTTTGTTGGTATTTTTGTGCTGTAAAACCACCAGTAATTTAATAAATGTAAGGTAGAGCTGTTTAATGTCAAACTGTGGAACATTACAGGATCAATGACACACCAGAAAAGTTACACAATGCACCTTTAAGTATAGATCTCTGTGGGCTCCATTCAATTCTTGACACTTACCCCTGGTTTGAAGGCGGGCAGCCCGAGCCCCGATAGTCGCCTTGTTGGGGTTGACCACGGAGTTGTAGTGAATGTTTCGGTGGTAGCTGACGCGGATGGGCTCGTCATGGTTTTGGTGAATGGAGAGAAAGGTGTTGATGGGCTCTGTGCCGTACTGGTAAACCTCCACCGGACGGTTGTACATCTCCGCCATGGCCTGCATCTCGATATGGTTGCCGTGGCAGTTGTTCTTGCGCTTGCGGTTGATGTAAGTGGTGAAGTCTTCTGTTACATAGCTTGAAAAGTAGTCGGCGTTCTTCATCTGAAAGAAAAAAAAAACCAAAAAATCTATTTAAATGGAAAATTGGAGATGGAAATTAAAATGGAAATGGAAATTAAAGGGCCCCTTTTATGTTATTTTCTGATATTTCTTCATCACGAACATTCCTGGAGTTGTGTTTTGTTTCATTCACATATGTTTTATCACACAAACTCTGCACATTTAGGCTGATTTCTTCTCTCAAACTGAAAATACTCTGTTCATGTGGTAATACAGGAAGTGCTCTACTGTGTTTTTAAACTTCATACACCTTCACTAGAACCAATTGGATAATTTCAGCCCTGGAAATGCCAATCTCTACTGAACAAAAGATAAAAATGAAGCTGTTAACTTGGAGATTATCGCTTCATTGGAGATATAGACAGAATCATAATAAAGAATTACTCAAACATATGTGAATGAAGCAAAAACACTTTAAGGGCAATGCTAGATGTAAGTTTAACACAACATAATTGAAGATTTATACCAAAACCTGGACAGAGAGAGACAAAGAACAATCATAAATGTGGGAGGTGAAGAGGAGGAACTCACCAAATAATCCATACAGTGTTTCCTGACCACTTCGTGCATGTCCTGGTCTCCGTACACCTGGTCGGCTGTAACACAAAGGTTTAAATCAGACCTGGACAATGCGCAGTCTATGCAGCAGCCGCCACACGGGAGGGACTTACCAACAGCTCTAAAGAGACAGGCTCCATCTTCCTTCATTTTCTTTATGACAAAGCCCTTTTTCTCCGTTAGAGTTTTCTCAAACCAGTGCTCCTGCTGAAAGCAATCAAAAAATGAATTGAATTTTACTTTCAAAAAAGTAAAATCAGACCCCACACAGACAAATTACACACAATAAAACTACATGCAGAAAGTGGAGCTGTATGGAAGTGTAAGTTGACAAGAATAGATGTCAAATACTGCATATTGTTTCATTACCCGTCACCATCAGTAGCTTAAACAGTCCCCTCACCTGTTCCACAGTGGCGGGGTCCACAGCCTGTAGTCGTGCTGCGTTTTCGTACTCATCCTCACTGTTGTTTCCAGCTCCCTCCTCCTGATCCTGACTGGCCCCGGGGCCCGTGACCCCTGGCTGCCCACCTCCAGTGAGAGAGCCCACAGCCACTGAGCATCCTCCGGCCTGTCTCCTGCGTTTGCTGAGCCCAGGACCGGAGCAGCAGTCCCCCAGCCCTCCCCCACAGCTTCCCAGCTCAGCCCTGGAGGCTCCAGGCTCTGAGGGACCCACGGAGGGAGGGGCTGAAGGTGGAGGAGAGGTGCTTGGTGTGGGGGGAGGTGGAGCATATGACCAGGGAGGGGGAGAGGCTCGTGGCCGTGCAGTTGAACTGCCACGATTGTCTTCATCAGGACCTCCAGAACTGGGCTTTTTCTTGGGAAGAATGGTCATGGTTCAACGGGAGCTGAACAACTGTGGGAGGAGGGCAGAGGGTTAGACTCAAGTTACACTTTACATCTGTTCAGTTTTAGGGAACTTCAACACAATTTACAGTTAATTCACAGACAATTATGACAATAATAACCCCATGGAGTAATTTAGGTGAAACTGACTCTTTTTATTTCCTAGTAATGACGCTTCTGCTTCCTTCACTTTGGATTTAGCACAAAATCAGGTGAAAGAAAATTTAATTCTGCAACTAGTGAAATCTTATGACAACATAAAAATAAATTATCTAATAGGCTACACAATGCAGCTGGTTCTGGTCAGAGCAGTGGTGCCTTTTTCATTTCCACTCTAATTCCATCTCTTATACATTTTTCTGAGTTGCACAAAACTCAGTAAACACTGATGGATCACGTGGTGAACACTGAGTTGCAGGTAAATGTCACAACACTTTCAAAACTTCACTGGAGACACTTCTGTGTTTATAAAGGTGCGTCTTTGTGTCTTAGTGCAAATGAGGAAAATGTAAGTCTGTTTTTCAAGCATATCATGAGTTCTTTTTAACAAAGTCTATGCCCACGTGATCTCCGAAACTAAGCAGGGCAGGGCCTGGTTAGTGTCTGGATGGGAGGCCGCTGAATACCCAGGTGCCACAGTGGGGCACCGGTGGCTCAAGGGGAAATTTGTTGTGTTGTGTCCTTGGACAAGACACTTCACCCACATTGCCTGGTATGAAAGTGATGTGTGCAACTGTTGGAGATGTTCTGCTGATGGCGCAGATTGGCAGAATAATGCACCGTAAAGACCTTTATTCCCACGTGTGACTCATCTTAGATGCATAATATATATTATACTATATCAGACTGGTCTTCTGATGAGCAATGATACTCATAAATATGACACTAAAACTAAAGATTAAAAGAGACCCAGTCAGTTTGAGAGAGACGTGTTCACGTTGTTACGTCTCACTGGTAACAGTTGATAACTTGGTATTGGGCTTCATTTAACTTTCAAAAGGGATCAGTATCAGAAGTCACTCGTAGTGATGAGTCAGAAAGCAGATCTGCTGCTTAAACCCACAAGGCTGATTTTTTTTAAGAATCTGATTTATGGTTATGCAACTGTAATCATGGGGCGATCAACAGTGATAGAAAAATTATAATAGCGTTATAATTGCAGGAAACTGAGAAAGTTTGTGAAGCTAATCAACAACAAATCAATCAGGTTTGACATTTGTGGATTCTCTCCATCTGAAATGATTGGAAAATGTTACAAAATACAACCTATTACTAATGCATTTTCTATTCAAACAAATAAAACACTTTTCACTTTCAAATAATTTCCACATCTTCTATGATTCAGTGCTTCTCTGTTTAATGCAGCTCTGTGCTGAAACACAAACATGTTCCTCCCTCCCACTCCTCCTATTGGTCAGCCTCTGTGAGTGATTGACAGGTGGACCAATCACATGATGTGTGAGCTTTATGAAGAAGAAGATAACTTCTGTTACATTAAAGTAGTGTAGGAGATGTTATGTTTGAACCCACAGCTCCACACAGACTTTGTTCTTTGAAGCTCTGCTTCAGATCATGTGACCTCTGCAACTTAAGCTTTGTTTAGGTTCCGCCAATCACAATTTTGGATTAAAGAAAAACATGATATATATTTTTCTGTATATTCCCAACCCCTAAAGGTGCATTATGAAACTTTTCTGGATGGGATCTTCTGGTCCCAATGGGGTGTCATTTGTGGTATTACTTTGTCTGGAATGCTCCACAGTCTGGCATTTAATGTATATCTTTTAGTACTCAAAAATAACTTGAAAAACATGCAATGCTCACTGGACGCGGGAGCCCCTCTCTACATATTTGATATGTACCGTGGCCTGGTGGTGTTATCTGCTTGCAGCCATGGAGATAGATATGATTAAATCTACCATCTTTCCAGTTATTTGATTTTTTTCTCACCAGTAGAGGGCAGATGTGAGATCCCCTCCCATCAAATGTGCCCTCTGGTCTGGGATCAGGACAAAGCTGTCACTGCAGACAGCATTAACATAGACAGCATCTAGTGGTGATATGTGAGAATACAACAGTGTCGGCCAGTCTAATTACAGATGGGTTTAATGCCATACTGTGGAATATTCTTGGGAAAGAAATAACACCTCCATGGAGACAAGCAGATGGCAGACACTACTTCAGAAAAGTAACATACTGTGCCTTTAATAAAAGGGTCTTAAAATACAGACATAGGAATGATAAACATGAAGATGTAACAAATAAATACCAAGTGTAAAGAGTGCATCTGTGCTGGTTAATCAATGTGCAGATTAAAGTTGCCTTTTCAATTCATGTCACTATCTCCTTGCTCTCAAAGTTACCTTTCTCCGAGAATATTCCTCGTTGTAAAATCCACTTCACCTTCTGCGTACAAATGCAGTTCAAGAAAGAATGGCCGGTTTTGTTGCCCTTTTCCGTGAACCACAGCAGTCCTACAGGCTCGGTGGAGGCCAGATGTTCCCGGCGGTCGCAGACACCGGTATCCACTTTAAACCGACTCAAAAACAGCTCCGTTGGACAATTGTGTCGCTCTCTGGATGTAGACAGAGCGGCATACAGACAGTGTCCGGTTACCGTGGGCCAGGGCGGTGATTCCAGCGGTGAAGTCAGTCACTTTGGGCAGAAAAGATCGCGACCGTCAGCTCGACTGTTCACTAACCTTCTATTGATGCAGTGTTGCTTTAAGCTCTTTAGCTTCCAGTCCGCTTATTTTTCCCTTTTGTGGATATATACACTAAATTTCCTTACGACAGAAAACAAATTCACAGATCTAACGATAAATAGTTAACCATCATTGTCCTGTACACGGAGAGCCGAGGGTGTCAGAAACTCTTCCATCAAAACATCGCTGGCGTTAGCACTTGGTGTTAGCTTCGCGGTAGCTAACAGCTAATGCTACAGAATCGAACGACAGTCCGCCTGTTCACATCGAATATTTCGATGTTTTTGTCTTCAAACCAGAGCACTGAGGTCCCGATCACACAGAAAAGCCTCTCTCCGAAACCAAAGCGAGCAGCAGGGCAGACAGCTCGACAGTTTGGACACGGCTTCTAAAGCAAAAAAGGGACTCGTCTGTTGGTTTCCACCTCAGCACCACTCACAAAACATCAACACAGACTGACGTACGGCACCGTGCGCGCTCACGTCACTTCCCACTCACTGCTTCTTCAGTCTGATTTCTTATTAATAACCTTTATTATATATTATTAAATATCCTTTCCTCAGTCTGAGAAATGTGAAAAAAAGGAATTATAAAAGAGAATACATGAAACATCAAATACAGCAGACTACTTTATTATCATGCCCCATTATAGGCCAGTAAAAGTGCACTGCACAGTTTATCTTTTCGAGATGGACCTCTGGGTGGAGATCTGCAGACTTTTAGATGACCTTTCCTGGTGGTCAGTACGTGAGGCAGGCGGGCGGCAGTGTTTTTCTTTCACTTGCTTGTCTGTTATGGTGCCAGACTACAATTTAAGGCAAAAGATACTGAAGTAAACATAATGAGTAAATGTAAGACTACATTACATGGAGACAAGCAGCTGTTTCTTCACCAGAAGCAGTACATCGTTAAAAATATATATTTTTAAAAGAGCTTTGTTTACTGTAATGTTATTTATGTATGTTATTACAGTGAAAACTCTGGAAACTTCTATCTGCTGCTCAGGTCCACTGTAGGGACATTACTAGACCTACAGCTACACTGGGGACAGGTCCCTTTCATATGTACCTTGCACTTCTCTCAGGCAGGGGGGTTTGGAGGGTCCTCCGCCAGAAGATTTTGCACAAAACAGGTGTAATTTCCTCTAATCTGGTGGATTTTACATGAAAAAATGCAGCCCACTTTAGAGAACATAGGTTTTTACCTACCAAGCTTTTGTTATATAGGCAGCTTCACACACGTCATTGATCATTTGTGATTCCAGTGTAGTTACCGACTGTCATTCTTACTAAATAGTGCAGCATTATGAACCTTGTATAACTCTGTAATTGCACCATATCTGATGTACAGTGTGGAAATGTCGGGGTCAGCATGTAAAATTCCATCTATGATTTATTTTACAGAAAAGGGCCTTGAGAATTATCCCCAACAGTCATTATAGAGAGCCATCAAATCCATTATTTGTTAAACTTAAATGTTTAAATGTATGACATTTTTGCTTTAAGTATCCTCAAAGTCATGTATAAAACAAAGTGCCATGTATTACCTAAATATTCAAAGATTGTTTGAGATGAGCCACTAAAATAAAAAAAAATTTAAAAAACAGATTCAGAACCAAGGTTATGAAGTGAAGCATCGCTGTGAAAGGAGTTAACTTATGGAACAGTCTTGACAAAGATATCAAAGGATCAAGTACAATAATGGCATTTAAAAATGTGTAAATTCCAGTGAACTGTGAAAAGAAACCTAAGTTGTTGCGCATAAAAGTGAAGATTTCTGTTTGCAATTGATTAATATTTGTCACTGAAATGAAATGTATTGATTTGAAATGTTTTAAAGTAAAAAGAAAGATAACACAAGATTACTCTTCTTTCTGCTCCTTTTCATTAATTTCTTGTATGTTTAGTATTAGGACACTGTTAATGTATTTTTATACTTAATGAAATAAACAAACAAACAAATAAATAAATAAGTAAACAAATAAATATATCCAAATGATTCCAACATATTCTGGTCTGGTGAATAGAGCCTATAATACAGCATAATCATAGTGGGTCACTGAATTGTCAGTAAGGTTCCTCTTCTATGTTCACACCTTGGATTTCCTGTACAATTCTTTTATGTTTAAGGCTTTGGGGGTTTCTTGCTTTCTGGCCCTCTTAGGTTTTTAATTTGTTATTTTCTAAGCATTTAACTCCAGTATCGGATAAGATAGAAAACTGTGTTGATCTAAAAGTATGATGAATTTGACTAAAATAAGTAGATGTTTTATACTATCATAAGCATTTTAAATTCATAGACTATAGCTCAGGAGCAATATGAAATGTTCTTCCAACAGTTAAATCACCAACAAAACTATTGCCTTTTTCCCATTTCCATTTTATTTATTTTTATTTTTTAAGCAAGAAAGATATAAAAAGCAAGATAGACAAAGGAAACGTCTTACTCATAATAGTGAGGCTGCTGTGAAAGTAAAAATATAACAAAGACACTATAAGAACTAGAAACACCTTCTTACCAAACATACAGATTGTGTTACTGTTTTTTAATTCAAGATCAGGAAAAGGAGGAGGAGAAGGGGATCCGATTGGTATAACATTTCTGGACCAATGTCATGCACAAACTGAGGAACTCTTGAGAAGGTCATCTGGAATAAACACGATAAAAATGTCTGTAAGAAATGTACTTGCATAAATTGAGTTGTAAAAAATGATTGTAGGCCAACTAAGCTAAGTGCTTTTTGTTAATGTTAAAATACTTTGCATGTTTTTCCATCATTTACTGTTATCATGTATAAAATTGTGTTTTAAAAAGGCATACATACCACATATTTGCAAAATGTAAAGTTAATCTTAACTAAATTAGCCAGATTTTAATTTCTTGCTTAATTTTATGGACATAATAGATACAAAAATTACAACGTGGATTCTGAATATCTAAATTTTAGTAAAATTGTAACAAATCAGATGGTATCAACAAACCCCTAAGTACAATCCATCAAAATTTTGTTAGGTAGGCCTGCAAAATTGGAAAGTTTGGGGTATATGTTGAGAAAAAGATCCTCAGGTAGTAGAGGCGTTGTTGGGCCCAGGACAGGCCATCCCATAAATACATGTATTCAGAAATTTAGAGCTGGTCCGTCACTTTACCACCTCAGTGCAGGTAGAGAGAGGTCAGGGATTATTTTGTGTGTCATTTTGAGAAAATCCACAATAACTGTGCTCAAAGTTGAAATTCTTACCTAAAATTATAGATTTGATAAATAAATATATACATACTTAAAATATTTTCAAAACTGCAGTGTTTAGAGGAGGGGCACGACAAAGTATCCAGTGTCATCATGGTCTATCTCCTGAATGTCCACCGAGCGGCGCTGTTTACCACTTTTGGAGTCACAGTTCTGAAGGAAGAGTCAGAGAAATTAAAGAAAGAATGAAAGCTACAACCATCGATCTATTAAAAGAACCTTACTTACTGTCTATTAAAATACGTATTGCTATCTTATTGATAAGTAAATAGTAGGATAAGTAAATATGATGAGTAAATAGTATACTATACTATTATTTACTTATCTATTAAAATAACTTTACTTTTAATACTTTATTAAAATATCCTTGCATCATTTGTTTATTCATTTTTCAAAATAAAACCAAAAATAAGAAAAAACAAACAAAAAAAAACTATTGTCTTCATTATTTGTCTCCAAAACCAAAATGAAAAAATGGTTAACGATAAATTTTTTCAATTTTCAAGTTTGTGTTTAAATTAATAATGGAAAAAACAGATAATGACCATTTCTTTTGCGCCACATATGGACTGAACCAGAACTGATCAAGAACTGAACCAGGACTGAGATTGGGACCAGACCGGGATTGACACCGGGATATGGTTCAGTTCTGGTTTAGACCTGGTTTAGTCCTGGTTCAGTCCTGGTGTAGTCCCGTTTTAGTCCTGGGATCAGTCCTGGTCCTGGTCCCGGTCTAGTGCAGGGTCAGTCCGGGTCTCAGCCCCGGCCTGGTCCTGGCCTGGTCCCGGTCTGGTACCGGTCTCAGTCCTGATCAGTCTATGCGGGCGCACCTCCAGGCCTGTCCCGACACTCCTGGTTCAATCCTGGTTCAGTCTTGGTTCAGTCCGTATGTGGCTCAAAAGTCTGACATCCCAGTCTCAGTCCCGGTCTGGTCCTGGTCTGGTCCCTATCTCAGTCCCAGTCTCAGTCCTGGATTAGTCCTGGTTCAGTCCGTATGTAGTGCAAAAGTCTGGCATCACAGTCACAAAAACGGGAAACGGCCATTATCTGTTTTTTCCATTATTCATTTAAACACAAAATTGAAAACTGAAAAAACAAATCATTGTCTGTTTTTTCATTTTGGTTTTGGAGATAAATCATGAAGAAAATAGTTATTTTTTTGTTTTATTATTTTTGTTTTTATTTTGAAAAACAAATGAACGAATGATACATGGATTCCTGTGGTACAGTATATTGGAAAATGACAATAGAGCATATAATTTCAGGTGCACTGTGTAACTTTTTTGTTGAGGTTCTGCCACCTGCTTGTTTATATGGAGATGTTACTACTCTGCCTGGAAAGTTCCACAGTATGACATTAAACAGCTCTGCCTTACATGTATTAAATTAGAGGTGGTTTTATAGCTCAAGAATACCTAGAAAAACACATACTCTGACTGTGAGCGGGGTTGCCTCTGCACAGATCTGACCTGTAACTCTATTAAGTTAGAAAGGTTTAATACCATACTGTGAAACATTCCAGACCACAAGCATTTGACGGACCCTCTACCAGAAAACTTACACAATGCACCTTTAAGAGCAAGTTTACCCGGTATGGAACAGATTAAGGGTGTAACAATATCTAAACCTCATGATGTCAGATCAGCTCAAGATATAGTGTTATTAAAGGGAGGCTAACAATATCTATGCTTCTTTATCTCTAAATAAATGCCGTAATGAGCCTTAAAGGTCCTATATTACGCAAAATTGTCTCTTGTGAGCTTTAAGCCATGTCAGAATGTTACCTCCTCAAAAACAGACCTGGAGTTGTGTTTTGTTTCATTCACACAAGTTTGAGTAATCCTTTTAGTCTGTCTGCATTTCCATAGATGAAAATGCTTTATTCCACCAGTGTCATGAAGCTGTAGTTTTCAAGTTAATGGCTGCCTTTTACCTTGTGTGACCGAAACAAAACACAACTCCAGGTATGTTTGTGATGAGGAAACATTATAACATATAGCGTGATGTGGGCCCTTTAAATAAAGATTAAAAGTGTTAAAACAGAAATGTCCACATGTTGGCTGCTCTGAAACAAAGTAAAGGTTTGTGTTCATGTAGTTCCACCTGCTTTTTAAACTGTCCATTATATGACCTGAACATTGTGGTGGTTAGTTCTGCTTTGGTGCTGCTGTCCTCCTGTCTGAGAGCTGTTCTG